TTCATTAAAGTATTGACTTTTACTGTAGTTATGGATTATTTATTGGGAGTTATTAGAATTGGGGATATATGTACTTAACTAAAGACAAATTTCAAATGTAAATAATTTAATATTAAATTAAGGTGCATGACTCATTTTTTATTAGTTAGTCAGATATTATTTAGTGACTAATAAAATAAAAAACCTAATTCTCTGCTGAGTAATTTGAGACCAGAAAGAACTTGGTGACGTATTAAGAACCCGAGATATAAATCATTTAATAAAAACTGATTTATAAAAAGTTAAATTTAATATTTTGTTGGGATTGGTATCTCGTCTCTAACTCGTCCAATTTTAATGATCAATAGCTCAAATGAAAGCCCTTACATCATTAATTATTTAAGAATGAACTACTAACTAAAGATAAGGTAAATAATCGTAAAAAATGTCAAAGTACAAAACGTTTAAAACAAAAAAATGTATTTAAAAACGGATTTCGGCAATGGAATATGCGTGAAAATCTAGTATATATAGTAATAATGTGTCACAACACTGTCGTTACAACAACAAAAAATTATATCCAATAAGGTGGATCCAAAATGGCGGCCAAAATACATTTCCCATCGAAATGAAGTACTGATCACCCAATAAATATCGATGTTGGTCCCAAGTAAATATTTAGAAAATTGTGCATAGAAAATGCTTATGGTATCTTTTTTTCAAAATTTGTCCAATGTTGGGAAAATCCAACTCTGCACACCCAAAACTACAACATAAAACCATAAAACGTTTCCTTGGATTGTTTTTAAGGTTATATTCTATACTTCTCGGACTAATAAGAAATTGATTTTTGCTTATTCTCTTTATGATTAAAACTGAGGAACCGAAATACGTAGGTTTGCTGCAATGATAACTGCCAAAAAAGGATTTTTTATTAAAAAAAAATATTAAAACAGATAATATGAAGCAGAACAATAAGTCTTATCTATATAGGTTTAATGAAAAATAATATTAATATTTATGCTTATCCTCCATAAAATTAACATTGAGCTATCTCGGCAAGAATACATACTAAAGTTATTACTTTCAATATCTCTGTAACAAATTGAAGCAGAACAAAGATTCAATATACTAAATTGTTAGGTTTTTTGTGTTGAATCTAATGGTGAAAAAATAAATTTGAAATTAACAAACTTTGTACAAAATATTAGAAAAACATATATTTGAGGTAAAAAATCTTATTTTTTTATCTCATAATACCCTGAAAATTCATCTTTGGGTTACTTTGTCTGCCTAGTTTTCATATTTAAGGTTGGAAATATAGTTCTATATGTGTTTGCCAATTTTCGTGGAAATCGGCCAATCCTGGAACTATGAATCGACGAATTTGCAGTCATCTTGTCGATTTGAGGGCCTCACGGCGGCCATCTTGGAAAAACCCGACTTCCGGTTGTCCGATTTTGGTAGACTTTTTCCCTGGTACTTTCTACACCTATTACTACCAAAAACCGTCGAAAAACCATTTGTTGGAATTTGTTCTATCTTAGAGGCTTTTTTGGGCTAAATTGACTCGTCTATTACTAAACTATCAACATTTTACAAAAAAAATTTACCCTCCCTGTTGCAGCAAACCCAAGTACTCGTTAAACTAATTCTATTTAAATAGGGAATAAATGTGATATTTTTAAGGAGGCAGTTTAGTGTAAATCCAATCAGGTTAGTGGAAATTCGCTTAGTTTGCAGGTTTGCTGCGGCGGGGGTATTTAAAGCTGATAACAGAGCACCACCTGGCCAAACAAATCTTAGTTTTTTTTCAAAAACTAATAATGTTAAATGTGAATCCGTTAGATCCACTTGCTTACTCTCCTATGTTCCCAACCTGAGACTTTGGTTGGGGCCCCTAATTTAAACACGCCTAAAAAAAAAAATATCTTAGAAATAATTTAACAATGCTATATAGGAAATTAAGGATTTAGCTTGCTACATTAGGTCTGAAAAGCTCACTTTACAGTGTGTGGTTGACATTTACGATCTCATAGAGGGCACCCGTCTACAGTACATTAGAGATAACCAAAGCAGTAGGTATTTAAATATTGTACATTACTTTTAACTTTTTACAATATAATTTTTTTCATATTTCTATAATGAGTCATAGAAATTACTTAAGAGTGACTCTTTGATGAGGTCTTTATGTTTATGTTTTTGTTCTTTATTCTTTTATTACAAGTTGCAGTTTTGCTCGATTTAGAGCAACGTTCATCTAGTTTATTTAAAGCCCAATGATCAATGTTTGAACGCAGCTAGTGCGTTCAAATAGCCGTGGCACCTGAGAGGGGAGGCCCCATGGGTTTCCATGGGGTCTCCTAATCCGTTAGGTGCCGGCTGTTTGAACGGAGTCAGCTGGTGCACAGATACTAATCCCTGGTACTGTTGTGTCAGTCAACAATCCACTTCTGTCTTCTTCACTACAATGGCAACAGTTCCCCCCATAATATCCTGCTTTCGCTATGATAATCAATGCAGGGACACAGTCATTAAGAAAAGTAAAGGTGTTTTACTCCCAGCACTGAAGTGTTTGCTCCCAGCCAGCTCGTGTTGCTGTGAGCACAGCACAAACTTTTGCTGGAGTTGCAGTTGATAAGTTATAACTTTTAGATACCGGTACAAGGAAAGTTTAAAAACACCGATTTATAACAAAAATAATGTGTACCCGGAACAATTGACTACAAACATATGTGTTTATTTAGTCAATTCCAGGACTCCCTGTTGTAAAAATGTTTAAATGTTTATCCGTTGGTAAAATATTGTTCTCTTCAATAATCTTTGTTACAACATAATATTTTTCATATTCTTATAACAAAGTTTTTAACTAACTTTAGAGTGATTCTTTTGATTGAATAATTGAATTGATATTAATTGTCTAGCTGTTTATATTTAAGTTTTTTATACTTTTATTACAAGTTGCAGTTTTTGCTCGATTTCAAAACTTATAATAGTCATGTATGTAGTTCAAATGGTTGTAACTTAGTTTAGTACAGTCTCTAGTTTACCTCTGCTTGCTAGCGCTGCTCAGTGGAGAAACGTTGAAGCTATTGTTTGAAATTCGATCATTTAATACCAGAGGGTGCACCGGTGCAGTAGCAGTAGTCGAAAGTTCGAAGTTCTGAACACCGACGACAGAATGTGCTACAGTGCTAGTATCAAAAACAAAAATAATACTGCTGCCAGTGTTTCCATTTGAGGGATAAAAATCCCTTTCTAGGGATATTTAGGGCCTTCGAGGGATTGAAAAGGGATTGAGGGATAACTAGGGATAATCAGCGAAATTGAAGGATTTTTTAGATTTTCTAGGGATTTTAGGCCTTTACCATTATAAAATTGAAATATTGATAAAATAATACATATGGCTGTATTTCAACAACTTTAATGACCTATTTTGGCTAATTTTGCAAGGCTAATTTTTCAAAGTAAGAGTAACAGCCAACACTGCACGAAACAAGCAAAGGACTGGAGTCGGTCGGTGGAATGGAATGGAGGATCTAGATTACTGTATTTATTAAATACAGTATTGTACTATGTACTGTGTATTTAGATTACTGTATTATTGTGGTTGTGTTTGTTGTAGCCATGTGCCCTGTTTCAATGTCGAATGTTTGTTTTCGTTTTGATTTTGTTTGCCGGTGATTTCTGTGATGTTTTTTTGGTTAGTAAGTAACTTGGTGTTTAACCTTTTCACCAAGGCATGGTGGCAATGTTTGAAAAAGACTATTAAGTTTGAAATTTAGGACACTTGAGGAATATTTTTGAAACAATTTTAAATACTTATAAATGAACATTATTAGTTTCTAAAATTAATAACTATTTGTTTCATTTTTTAGTTAATTAATCTTGTTTTGTACCACATAGACAGTTTAACGTCTATTTAGTGAGTCGGTGGCTCAGTCGGTAGCGTCGCGGACTTCGGGCCCAAGGCAGCGATGTCGTGGGTTTGGATCCTGGTCACTGCCGATAACATTTTATCAGTACAGTTCACCTTTGTACTGTACTGGCTCACTCCTTGCTTTGCTGTTAACGATCCACGCACGGGCGCTTAGTCTATGTGGACGGGCAAATGCAAGGTTAAAGAGGCCGCCAACCTCTTTAAAAAAAAAAAAAAATCACGGCCACCTATCATTCCAGGCCGGAGGCCGCAGCCTTCGAAATGGCAACGTTGCAAGTATAGTGTTGTAAAAGGTGTTTGTTTGGAGAACGCTAAGCTAATGATATTTATGTATTTTTTAAGAATACGAAAGCTTGGTTACTGGGCTATGAAAATGTTGACTCCACATTGATTGTACAGAAATAGATTTTCAATTTATATTGTTTTGGTTTTCGATTATATATTATGTTTTAATTCCATGTTAACTTATGGGACGTCTGGTGCTAATTAATACTGCGGTACTTGCAACGTTGGAAAAATGTGGTACGGATTCCACTATAAACTGTATGTCCCTTAGTTGCCATTAGCTGTATGGGCTATTAATTAACAGCTGTGTCTAAGGAACATGTCGGCCTTAGTCACTAACAAGACTACAAGATCGCGCCACTCATCCTACACTCATCCTTCACTCATATTTGGGTTAAAATACGCACATAGTGGCGTCCCCCATCTTAAATAATTGATATTGATATTGCCAATTCTACCAGGCCGCGGCCTGCCTGGAGTTAAAGATGGCCGTGGTTTTAATGGTGCAAAAATGTTTTTTGTATAGTATTACTTTATAAATAATATGGGATATTGAAGAATAATATCACCAGTTACCATATTTTAGGTGGCTATACATGATCCATTGGTATTGCTGCAAAAATAATAAGTTATCTTGATTTGATGAAGAGGGATAATTGGAGGGATTATTAGAACATGGACTAGGGATAACTAGGGATTTTTTGACGTTGGCCTAGGGATATTTTTTTCTTGCGGATGGAAACACTGACTGCTGCGCTTCTGCAGCTGTTCTCTGCTACTGCTAGTTCCCAGTTGCTAGGCTAAGTTAGTAGTGCTAGTACAAACAGAGAATAGTAAAGAGTGGTTCCTGTTATTGTTGGAAAACGTAGTGTTGCTTGTTTTGTAACCGTGAAAGACCAATCCGAATCAAACCAAACGGTTGTCTGGCTGCTGCTTGATTGTGAGTGGTTGAGTTTTTGAGTTGAGTCGGTTTACGGTTATCTAGCTAGTGATGCTGCGGCGTGTTGTAGGGGTTGGGTTTAGTTAGGGACGTTAGGGTGTTTTCATTTTGACTTTAAAGGCTAGGAAGTGTAAATTCTTCACTTTATTAGTGACCATGACAAACAGATGGATCATAGTGTTGTGCTTTACATTTAGGATGTTGGAAGTTCTCACAGAGTCAGTGTTGGTGCACAATAACAAAGGTAAGTCGGAGTCCTTCCTTACTGTAAGTGTTTAAACATCCTGGGACTTCCCACCTAGTATATTAAGGTATTTTAGCACTGCTCAAATATTTTACCATACGAAATGAATGAAATGATATAACTACAAGTAGCCTAACTTATGTTAAAATGATTCCTTTGGTTAGGAATACTCTTAAGATCAATTGATGGCTCTGTTTAATAGGTTAGCCCACTTAGTTTTGTTTCTGCCATTGGCCTACAATAACAAATACAAGCTTGATAGGTTATTAGGTCTAGGTTAAGTTACCTTACGCTTAAAATGGATTCTAGGTTAGGTACCTAGGCTATAATATCTCAGGTACGGTATATGAATGTGGTTGTCTCATTTAACTTAACACCTCTTTCAGGGTTAAGTTGTTGTGTAACTTAAGTCACATCAGATGTAAGTATTTAAGCAATTTTTTTATTAACTTAGTGTAGGGAATAGGCCTAAGTAAGCTATTCAGCCTACCCTACTGTAGCCTAGGCTAACTTAACTTAAGTGTAATTCAAAAAGACCTGGACCTGGGACCGATTCACTTTTTGTTTTGAGGTCCCCAGAGGCCGAAAACATCATCCTATGTTCAAACCCAAATAACTTACAGACATAACTTAACCCTCCGAGTGTTATTTGTCGCTGCAGCGACTCACAAACACTGTTTACGGCGAAGGCTCTATGACTGACAAAATCGGATTAAACTGGATCGAGTTAGGTATCGTTTTATTTTACAGATTCAGAGCTTTCTCCAGAGGTCTGTCTCTAAGCGCTTTTCATTTTAGTTCCGAAAATATTGTAGCAGACAGCTGACGTACATATTTGTAAACGCAGAGGATACGCGTCCGGTAACCGGACGTGGATTAGGCGTCCGGCAGTTACTGTCATAACCTAACCTAACCAACCAAACTTGCTGATAGTGAAAAAAATCAAATGAAGGTTCAATTCTCTTCATAACATAAAATTATAAATGCCAAAAATTCTAACAAAAGATGTACAGTTAAGAAGAAATTACATTCAAAGCAAAATCTGTGACAAAAAGTTAAAGTTACCGATGGGTTTCGAACCGGGGACCTCTCGCATATCAGTCGAGCACTCTATCCACTACACCACGAACACTGATGGCTGAACATCGTATCATTGTGGTAATGGCGTTCCGGGACCCCCTACCGGACGCCTAATCCACGTCTGGTTACCGGACGCCTAATCCACGTCTGGTTACCGGACGCCTAATCCACGTCTGGTTACCAGACGCCTAATCCACGTCTGGTTACCGGACGCGTATCCTCTGTGATTTGTAAACAGCTTGGTTAACCTTGAACCGATGACTGATGTGTTTTATTACGTTTATCATTGTTTTAGTGTTAAAAATCAAAAGTAGTGGTATACGTGGTGCATTATAAGAAGATTTTAGTGATTTTGAATGGCTGGTTGATGATCCTGAAGAAGTAAGTTAAGTTAGGTAAGGTAGGCTAGTGATATTGATGTAAATTATCAGCCAGATTCCTAGCTATGGTTAGGCTATGCATTCTTAGCTATGTACTGAAATCTGTTTTTTGCCCATAACTTATTTATTTGCAAATCTACTTCCTTACCTATATTATTATATACACTACCCTACCGTATTTGTAATCCTCATAAAATTTAGAACAAAGTGGCTATTTTCAAATATTTATAGGGCCTATATAATATAATACAATTTCACTGAGCGCTAACTTTTTTTTTTTAGAAAATTTCCAAAATATTTTGTTTCTTACCTAACAAATTTTTTTGAAACAAATGTTCCATATGTTTTATGTATAATATTGAAGCCCATGATTTTCCAAACAAAATGGTGTATAGAACAGTAATATTAACATTGTTTTCAAGCTTCTCAGATACGTTTTAATGAAACCTTGCAAATGAGCAAAAAATAGGCAGACATTAAGGCCAAAACAAGGGACACTCGGAGGGTTAAGTTATGACTTAACTTATAGGCTAATATCCGTTACTATAGGCGCAACTAAAAAAAAATTTCCCAAATTTGTAGAGATTAGGTAGTTTAAGTTACTTACGTGTGAATCTACATGACTTATATATTTGAACGAGTTCGCAAACGTGACTAGGGTACTTAACATGGGAACTGAGGGTTCTGGGAGGGGCAGGATGAGCAAAGCTTGTTTGAGGGCTAAAATACTGTTACCAACGGTAATATTTTCTGAAAAACACACTTTATTTCCTTCCTGTAGCACCAAACCAAGGTTCTCGTTAAACGTAATGTTATTAAAATGTATTTAATTGAAAATCAAATCAGGCAAGTGGAAATTCACTTAGTCTTCAGGTTTGCTGTGTTGCGGGAGTATTTTTAAAAAAATTCCTGGATGCTTGTTAGTAGGCCTACCACCATCGATGTGTTAGGTTACCATTCATAGATGGTTAAGTTACTACTGTAGTTCCAGTAGCCTACTTAAATGTTCTACAATCAAATCATTATGCATTTTAAAGCATAGACCTACTAACTGAGGGTGTGGGCCAGAGTAGAAAAAATGAATCATGGTCTTCTTCTTCAACAATTGTAGTTGAAAAGTAGACTAAAAGTAGGCTAGACATTCCACTCCTAAAGCTTTAGGTTAAAATGGATGTAGTTCAATTGAGCCACCATCATAGACCAGTGTCGTGTTAATTATCTATTTTTGTCCATTATGGACAATTATTAACCAGGCCAAGCTGAAAGGAAATTCATTTTAAAATATCCTTGATTTCACATCAAAGTAAGTAGGCAACAAAAAACTAGACAAGAAAAACAAAACGACAGCAGCACACTTTGAAGAGGAGGTTTTTTTTTAACCTTATTCTATTTGAATAAATAATTGGCTACTGTTGGTTCATATATAAATGTGATTCTTAGTTTAATATCCCACCTAATGCAATGAGTTAAATTGTTGCAGTTTTTCACACAGTTTGATAGGACAGTAGCTAGAAGGCTTAGCGTAGGCCTAACAGCGATGAACCCAGGTGTTCTGTCAGGGAGGATTTATCTCCTGCTGATCCTCCCTCCTCTGTGCAATTGTCTGTTTAAGTACTTCTCTTCCCCAGATATAGCATTATTATTCCATTAATCAAATATTCTTTATGAGCTGATTCAATGATTTATTTAGGCCACTAAGCAAAAGCAATAGGCTAAGTCACTTACAATACAAAGTAAATAATAAATAGTCCATCTCTTGATTCACAAATAAATGCAAGTTAGATACCATGTCTATGTATAGTACCATGTTTATGATACAAGTTAGAGCTGTCCCATGTATCATAAACTAACATTGTACTGTATTTATTTTTATGTTCAACTAATTGAACAAATTCTGCAAGATAGTTTAATGGAAATTTGCACAAAACTAGCTACACCATTTTAACTAGGCCTATTTCAATATCTTAAAACCATAAATTTTAATAATTAAGTTTGAAATAGCCTATCGCTGATCTGACACATACTTTCTCCCATTGTGAACAACCCTTCAAGGCAAGCGGTGGGAGTAACTATTTGATATTTTCTGGGGAAAATCACAACATTTGCAATGAACATTGAACCTAATATTTACAGCATTGGGGGTTTTACTATTTTGTTAAGAATTAGTCCAAAAGGACCATAATGTCCAGAATTTTAATAAAAACAGTTTAAAAGCAGTTTATTTTTTTATTATAAGCCTACATGTATTCTGACAAAATCAGACTACATGTGTAGTCTTTAGTTCTGTACACATCCACAACCACACGTACACACATCACTTTGAAAACCCTTCTTGGGTTCAGGGGGGGCCCAAAACAGATATTTCCATTTTGCGAAATTTTAAACAAGAAATGTTGACGAATTCAATATGTTTTCCATTATATAATACTACTAAATAATAGGCCTACTATGTAATGGGGGGAGAAAGTATAAAAGTGATGTTGGGTACTTTTTTGTGATGTGTGTGGGCTCTCATGTGCCCTAGAGTCATACCAATGATCCGACTTAAGAAATTAGGTAGGCTATGTACTTTGTACATAGGGACTAAAACTAACTTCTTTATAACCTAGGTAGGCCTATGTCGTAGCTATTCTCCATCCTTCTATTTTTCAACTAAAAAAATAAATTTTCTGAAGAACTGTTCTTTTAGATTTTTTTTGTATAGTTCATCTTTATAGTTCTTCTTTTTAGTTTTATATTTTAAGTGTGTGTGTGCCCACGAGTCAACTAGAGTTGAAATTTGGTTCCAACATTTTATACCTACATTTATTTGAACAAGTTCGTTTAACCAGTATGTTCCGAATACTGGGAACGGGATAATAAATATCATTTTAAAACTCCTATAGAAATTTTATGGAGAATAAAGTAAGCTGTTTTAGGCCTAGATACTTATTTATGGATGTACGGTATATATATTTTGAACAAATTTGATAAATTTATTGACACACTCTTTGACATTTTTTAGGCCTAAATCTAACTACATAAGTTACTCACTAAACCTTTTTTTAACGGGCAATGAATCTTTACATGTTGAAGAAAATATTTCAGTAGAAATGCGATCAGGCAAGTCAGCAAGTTTGCTACAGGGGGGGGGGGGTCTGTGTTTTAGTTACAATTGGTCTCATAAATTTACCATATCATACTACAGTATTAAAATTACAAAAAGGTAACATATTAATAGGACAATTGCTTAAAATACAGATTCTAAATGTGTTATATCGACTAAAGCTATGGTTCCACAGACTGTGGAACTTCCGCCGTGCGGTGCGTAATTTTCCGCAGTGGAAAATTACGCAGCGTAAATTTGGAGGGGGGGGTTCCACTGACTGCGGAAATAACGTTGCGAAAATTCAGTTGTGTCCAAACTAGCAACGAGTATGGATAGGAAGATGAAAGCCCTCGTGGCTTTGATGCTGTATGATGATGATGTTGTCGATCTTTTATCTTTATTGGTGTCAAGTCATAGTGATTGAAGTTATATATTTAAGATTCGGGACAGTG